TTGGTGTTTGGGGTTGTTTGACCCCTCTTAAGCCTTGTTTGGCCCTTGTTTTGTGCTATTTTGTGTGAGCTCCGGGACTACCTTGTTTGGGCCTCCGCACCACTGAAATCTTGAGGGATTTTAGTCCTAGAAGGGAGGAAAGAAGAAAGTATTGCTGAAGAAAAACTGAGTTCCGATCTACAACACTAGGGGCAAATTCAGCCTCCACGGGATGGACTCCTGCATCGTCAGCGAACAGCAGCCACTCTCTTGGATTCAGACGGATTCGAGATCTCAGAACCATTTGACATGGACAAAGCTACACTTTTACCCTTGAGAGGCTCGCTGGGTCGAAAACCCGGAAGGGCGACCCAGGCAAAAGTTAGAGCAAGGAAAAACGGAAAAGAACAAAAAAGAAGAAGAAGAAAAATGCAAAGAACAAAAAAGAAATGAAGAAAAGAAAAAAAAAAGAAAGAAAAGAAAAGATAAAAAAAAAATGAAAAGAATTGAAAAGAAAAGAAAAACAGAGCTCGCAAGGTTGAAAACCCGGAAGGGCGGCCTTGGCAAAAGTTAGAGCGCAAAAGGAGAGGTTAAATACCCGAGTGTACCTTAACCCCGAACTACGTAAGGCTTGATTCTCATCTTTGGGATACGTAGGCAACTTCATTCCAAAGTCCAGCCGTAAAACACTCCAAGATCAACTGTGTCCATGTGATGGTTTTGATCATCTTTGCCTTCTTTGTATCCGAGAGTTCGGTTGTCATCGTCACTCTGAGGACTGATTGCAATGCGCTGTGATGCTATCCAAACAAGGGGCAACTTTCCGTTGCCATACAGTGTGCCGCGGTGCCATTCAAACAAGGGGCAACATTCCGTTGCCATGCAGCTCTTTTCAAGCAAGGGGCAATTTTCCTTCGGATCTGAAGTTGCGCATCTTAAGAGTAGGTTCCGTGCTTGTTAAGCATTAGCCATTTGCAAAAATAGTTTTTGAGAATTTTTACTGAAGTTGACTAATTTTCTTGAAAATTGTTCCATCTTTTCCAAAAACTGGACCATTTCTTGGACCCAAAAAAGGAAAATTTTCAGTGCTCATAG